TAAAACGGCTTTATTTTATAGTACGGAGGGAGTATGATTCTTCGTTGAACTTACTTGATTAATGTTATATACTTTGAAGTATATAAGATTTTTTTAAGGAAAAAACGGATGGTCAAATTTGCTGTAGTAAAAGGTTGGTGAAAAGTAAACAAAGACGGAGGAAAGTAATACTTTACAGGAATCCAATTGGTTGAAGTTAAAAAGCCATAAAAATTAACAAGAGTCAGTAACTCAGGTCTCAGGTGTGCAGTAACAAGAGGAGAAAGTAAAAATTGCCCCTAAGGCATGTGCTCTGCTGCTGTGCAAAATATGTCCGTTTCTGAGGGAGATGGAAAAAATCGAGCAAATTTATGCCGTCCGTGGGGACGTGGTCTACCACTGAGCTAGGACGGCTGCGATGATAGAACTAGCTGTACAATTTATAAGGAGGCTTTAATTTTCTATCATTTGAGCTAAAAAAAATGTTGACAATCCATATTGAGGCAATAACGTCCGTCGATTCACACAATGCAAATCCTATCTCACTGTTTTCGGCTGTATTAAACCTAGTTTATATAGGAACCTGTACTAAAGCAAATCACCCCCTCTCAAGGGTGATCTTTCGAAAATTTTGGATCGGGTAATTCTAGTTTTTGAACTTTTTGGTTTTGAGAAATGATGAGATGCGCATACAAAAAATGAGAAAAAAACCCTAAAATATCGGGGTCATGTTTCGGATAATCTTGAATTACTCGACTGCTGCCCATCAGAGAGACAACGACAATTTTCAAAGCTAAATCTCAAGCAAGAAAATATTAGCAAAATCAAAGGACCAAAGTTCTACAATATATGATAAAAGTACTCCTCGTTATCTAAAAAAAAGAAGAAGATCAAAGTATTCCTTGCCCTCGGATGGGTGTGGTGCGTAGTGTGGGCTGGGCTCTCTCACTATTTCGTTCTGTTTTGCAAATTGAGTGTTGTTTGGTTGGATTCTTAGTAGTGAAATTTGCTTATCCAGGTTTAAATCCTCGACTTGATGCAGGGGCTTGTATTTTTTAGATTTATTCCGAGGTTCAATTGTGTTGTTTTTTCAATGGCAGAGATGTGCACCTCAATAGTGAGGCACTGTAACGACTTCATCAATTTCGAGATCTGCTAGCTCAGTATTTTGAAGACTCATGGTAGGAGGCCAGGGGCGGAGCCCAGTGGTGGTGAAACTGATCTCCGGACCCCACACTGACATTTTTTTTAGTAGTATATGCTTGGTTGATGATTGATGATAAATACAGAGAGTGAGAAAGCGATTGCAAGACTGACAACTACAACAACCTCCACCAACGCTAGTAGTCCACTACTTTGTTACTAATCAAGGACGTACTTCCGTTGCTTTGTAATAGTAATTTGGCCCCTTCTTAATTATTGGTCATGACCCGCCACTAATTCATAGGGATATGGTGTGTGTGTGCAGGGTTCATAATCATAAGGTGAGAGTACATGTATGTCTGATTATCTGCTTTTGTACTGTGTAATTAAAAAAACGTTTTTTTAATGTGGTAGGTTATGTAAAAACCCAAGTTTCTCTGAAGAGTTTTGGGGTTGATAGTCTTAAGGGTTCGGGCATATATTGGGTTTTGTATGCCCAACAGATGGAGCTTGTTTTTCAAACTCAAATCGGCCTGCTCGCAATGAAGCTGTGATGCTCAACTAAACTATTTTGTCTGGTGTGAAAGTGAAACCTTATGGCCCCGTTCGCTTCGCTGAAAAAACAAGCCGGAACACTGTTCCGATTGATTTGTTGTGAGAGAAAAACATTGTTCCGACTAAAAAAACAAGCTGAAAAGTACGGATTACGAGACCAGCCGGAAAAACACTGCTCCTGCTGCTACTTTGCAAGGCTCCCGTGATAAACATTGGCTCCCGTGATAAACATCCGGCGGTTATCCTGGCTTGACGTTAATTCAACTCTGACCCTCTGATTCTTCCGCGGCGGCCGGACCAGGTGCATGCATTCCTTCGACCGGCTTCATGCTTCCTTGGACAAGGGAGTACCGACTACGTCCTCCAACAGCTGACGCCGAGCCGACGATTGGCTGCGAGAACGCAAGTGTAGCGAGATGAGGACGCAGGTGTGTCTGCGCCTGCATTTCTTTTCTATTCTTCAGATTTCGCCGTCAAGCGGCCATGGCGCGGCGGCGCGGCCGTGCGCATGTGCACGCTAGCTAGCACCTACATCCTCCCCCGCCTGCCGCCTCCTCCGTAGTCCATACCACGGCATATATCTGTTTATATTATATAATAATCCTCAAGACACCAATTGAGTAGCGATTACGTACTACATCAAAGGCTATATATAATGCAGAGCACAAGCACATAAACATCGCAACAATCTACCTGACAATCACATCAACAAAGGAAAAGTAATCTACCACACACACTCCAACGATCAACGGCTGGACACACTACACAGACACCTGTTGGCTGTTGCAGCTCCAGTAGACATTGTTGGAGTAGTTGCTGACTCCGTGCAGTTGATCGGCACATCCATCGATCGGAATGGCTCCATCAGCTCCAGTTTTGGCAGCCCTGCTTCTGCTCACAGTCAGCTGGGCAGCGTTGGGCGTCGTCGCAGCCAAGGCGCCGCCGCCGCCAACCGGATGGCAGAGGGGCGCGCACGCGACGTTCTACGGCGGAGCCGATGCCTCCGGGACCATGGGCGGCGCATGCGGGTACGGGAACCTGTACTCGCAGGGGTACGGCTCCCGCACGGCGGCTCTGAGCACGGTGCTCTTCAACGACGGCGCGTCCTGCGGCCAGTGCTACAAGATCGCGTGCGACCGCAAGACGGACCCGACGTTGTGCAAGCCCGGCGTCACGGTCATCGTCACCGCCACCAACTTCTGCCCACCCAACTCTGCGCTGCCCGACGGCGGATGGTGCAATCAGCAGCGCCCCCACTTCGACATGGCGCAGCCGGCGTGGGAGAAGATTGGCAGCGACGTCAGCGCCGGCATCATCCCCGTCATCTACCAGAGGTCAGTATTATATATGCTTGTATTAATTAAGTGAGGAGAATTAATTGTCTTGCACTGGATCGTCGATCTCTAGTAATAAATGGAAACTTGCAGTGCATATATGCAGAGTTCCATGCGTTCGGCGAGGTGGAGTCAGGTTCATGATCAATGGCCACGACTACTTCAACCTCGTGCTCGTCACCATCGTTGGAGGGGCCGGCTCCATCAGATCCATGGATGTCAAGACCTCCGACTCCACGGACTGGATGCCCATGGCACGCAACTGGGGCGCAAACTGGCACTCCATGGCGTATCTCAATGGGAAAAGGCTCTCGTTCAGGGCCACCATCACAGATGGTCAAACACTCGTGTTTACTAATGTGGTGCCGGCTGGCTGGACCTTCGGCTTGACATTCGCAAGCAATTTGCAGTGAGGACTCGATTATCTACTGCGCCCTAAGGCTCAATATTGTTTATATATGGTGTACTACATTGTGTACACAGCCTGTACAAAACACTCTGCGCATTCAGTAGTTGGGAGTCTGATATTGTATTTTTCTATGAAATATTGTTTCTTATACATACCATTGTAAATTGACCGTGTCTCAAATGACCCACTACCAATACCATCACCGCCTTAAGGCGCACCATCTTTTATCATAAGCTAGAAGAATACCCCACGCATTATATGGGCCGAGATTTTCTTAGAAATAAAATGATTGAACAGTTGGATGGATGAGATATGCTATCAAAACTGGGTAAACTAATGGAAGATAAAATAAAACGTTTATAGAATATAATATTAGATTGAACTATAGGAAAATGTGATGATCAAACAAATAGTACATCGTGCATGCGATACCAAATAAGTATCATTATTTTTTTAGTCAAAGCATCTCAAGTTTGACTAAATTTATAAGTCATTCCAATTGGAGGTTAAAAGCATCTCAAATTTGACTAAATTTATATAACAAAATAATATACATTTGTAATACCAAATAAGTATTATTACTTTCTTCATTAATTATATTTTCATAGTATGTCTATTTGATGTAATTTTAGTTAAACCTAAGATGCTTTGACTCTTAAAAAAATTAGAACGACTTATAATTTGGACGAGATGGAGTATATTACTACTTTGCTAGAGCTCTAGGAACAAGAGATATGCACATGTCGATTCTTTGCATTGTCAAACAATGATTTGAATTATGTTTTCCTAAAGAAAAAACAACGATTTGAATTTGTTTCGATGCAACATATTTCATGGTTTGCCAAATAAAAAATTTGATTTAGTTTAATTCACTTCCCAGCCATCCCAATTTCTCTTTGACCTTAGATCTGAAATGGAGTGGACTAATAAAAATAAGAGTGAAATGCACCAGGGGTCTATGAACTTGTCATGGTGTACCACTTAGATCCATAAACTAGAAAAATATATTTATAGGTCACCTAACTTGCTAAATGATGCACCGTAGGTCTATAATGTTTTGTCAGTGCTTTCTTGCTTAGGTGGCATGCCAACCTAGCATGTTTTTTTTTTTTCCATCTAACCCCTCACTAGGCCTGTGCATGGATTACGTGATCCACCCAATCCACCCACCCAAAACCCAATCCAATCCATAAGACCCATGGGTCAAAACTTCAGCATGACCGTCGGCAGCCCTCCGCCAAACAAGCGCACTGGAGCAGCACGAACAACGTGGTCCTAGGCGGCGATGGCACCGGAGCTCGGAGCCTCGGAGCAGTGGAACGACGGCGGCGTTTGTCGGCGGTGATGGCCGCGTCCTCCGTCGCGTTCGTCATGTCCGGCAACTTCACGCTGCGCAGCCGCAGGAAGCCGTCCCCAGTGCAGTTGAGCCGCGTCACGCGCCTGCACCTGGCGACGCCTGTCCCTGAGCCCCCAGTCCCGCGGCGACGCCGGCGTGAATTGAACCCGTGCATGCAGGCGCACGCCGGCGAGATGCTGCTGGTGTTGCAGACGCCGAAGGCGCTACAGTGCGCTCGACTGGTTCAGCACGAACCGCGACACGACGCCGCCGCCATTGCCGACGAACTGCAGCCCGTTCGTTGCTGTTGGCGACGAACTCGAACTCGAACTGGAACTGCGTTGGCGACGGCGACGAACTCGAACTGGAAGTTGCTGTTGTTGGGCTCCATCTCCGGCTTGCCGCTGAACTGCAGCCCATTCCACGGCCCGTTCTGGTACACGGAGCTCCCAACGACGGCGACGGCACCGCGGCTCCTCCTTCCACACGCTGACGCGCACAATAAGATGCGGCGGTCGGCGAGAGAGGCGATGAGGAAGAGGCCAAGGAGACAGAGGACGTCGTGGCCGCATCGTCGTCCTCCCGCTTTGCGAGGGCGCTCGTATCCCTTAGTCCTCCTATGCCGCATCGCACCCAGCACACCCTGTCTTCGAGCCTCGCAGCCAGCGCACCGCCACCGGTGCCGACTGCCCGCGCAGTCGCGCCTCCTCGGGCTGCGCGGAGCCACCACGGCCTCCAATGGGTGCGCGTGGGCCTGGCGAGGGAACAGCGCCCCACGGACCCGCCGGAGGTTGCCCCAACCGCCGGATCGATGCTCCCCGGCGGCCATCTCCCTGCTCTGCATCGTCTTGAAGAAGAAAGGAGGACACCCGCGACGGTCGGCGCAGGGGAGGCTTGACGGGCGACCGATAAGCTGGGCGGCGCGCAGCCGCGCAGCGCGCGCTCTGTTTCTTGGTTTAAGGGGGTTAATGAAAAAACATGCCGGGTTGGCATGTCACCTAAGCAAGATAACGGTCACAAAGCAGTATCTCTCCTGTCGAACAACGAAGCATTGGCCTCGCAGTGCAGTTGAGCCGCGTCACGCGCCCGGCCTGGCGACGCCTGCCGTCATGAGCCCCGCAGTGCTGCGGCGGCGAGGCGAACGCCCCGTGCATGCAGGCGCACGCCGGCGTCTGGCTGCTGCTGCACGCGCCCGCTGCAAACATGGCTGGTTACAGTGCAAAACATGTTCCGACGCACCTGGCGGCGACGACGCCGCCGCCATTGCCGACGAACTGCAGCCTGAACTAATTCGTTGCTGTTACTGTCCGACGAACTGCGAACTCGTCTGGAACTGCGTTGGCTCATGACAATTTCGAAGTTTCTGCTTGCATCAATCTAGCGGTTGACGGTTGCTTAGTGTGATGGCTGTACTGGCGTGCACTTTTGCAGCAGAAAATGGGCTGTCGGTTCCATGTTTCCTTGCATGCATTGCTCTTCAAACTTGGGACAGCAAGAAGCTCATTGGAAAATCTAGAGGTCTTTCTTCAGATCAAGGTTGTCAGCTTTGGCATTGAACATTTAGCATATGCTCCCCCTAAAACTTCGTCAAATGTTTTCACCTTTTTTGTCATTTGTTCGTTTCCTGCCTTTGTTTAGGACCTGACTCCCTTTGCATTTGTGAAATGGCCTATGCTAATCCATGTCGCATGCGAACTGCAGTTACTGCGTTTACATTTTTGTTGGAATGAGGATACCGGCAGGTGTAAAGTTGCAGGCCTAGGGCCCTTCTACCTTCCTTATCTAAGAACGCCATGCTATGGAAAGTACAGTACCGGGCACTCATTTTAATGAACCTGAGCTTGACCGCAGACGCTGGGGTTTCAATTGAGATGTCCTAAAATGGAGATGATCTTTTAGTAATCCAACTGGATAAGTGCTCCATGGGCGGCGGCATATTTATCTGTTTGTGAAAATTGAGGAATTGCAGCAATCACCTTTGAGAAAATGCAGTGCAGTGTTGTTAAAAAAAAAGGCGCGGGGACAGAGGACGTCGATCAAACATTCTATATCGACAAAAGCATGGAGCGTAACCGCTTAGATAACAATGACAATGTGGAGGTCATTCTGGAGGTATGACTCATTGCTATTGTCCCCATGTGAATAAGTTCATTGGTTATGTTAGAGTTTCTCATTACTTTTTCTACGAGCAAAGCCAATCGGTTATCCATTATGCTACACTATGATGTTCAGCATGCTTTCGCTGCCAACCTTTATATAATCGGTTATCAGGCGTGCGCGCTATTGGTCGCGACTAATCCAGCGCTCTGCTCTATTCGATCATGGCCCGCTGCAGATCGCCATGTTTTTTGTGGCCAATTTGCCACCGCTTGTGCCGACTGCATTAGTCTGCGTTTGCTCCTGTCTGAGTCGCGCCTCGCGCAGGTCTGCTCGTCAATCATATGCAAACTTTTTTTGGCAAATTGCGGGCTTTGGTATGCTGTCTCTCTGGTCCTTCTGCCCTCTTGATTGGCTCATGCTGTTAACAAATTCATGTATTTGTAATATTAGTCATAGAAAATGCATGTGCTGTGAGGATGTTAGTTGCTATTGTTAGAACTGCTTTTCACGGACCCATAAGCAATCTGAAACTGAAATTTACATTGGTGTCTTTCCCTGGACCTACACCGCCGGAAAAAAGAAGTAATTATATGGTTGATGATATAATCTGAAATTCTCTTATTCCCAGCTCGGCGGCATGAATCTGGCCCTGCTGCTCCTTCCATCGTCTTGTAATGAAGAGAGGAGGTTCGTGGTTAAACTGATTCTTCCACCACTTATCTCAACATGTATGTTGTATAAATAATTTGATATCGATACCACGCAGCGCAATGTAAACTCTATCGAATAGGGCATGCTGTTGCCAAGGGAACTGGTATGATTGTCTTATTTGTCCCTTGTGGTCCAACAAGTGGCGTTACCTCACAAGCAGTATATTATATTACATGGTAGCGTTTGATACAGGACAAAACCAATATCTATTTTGTTGGAGCAAGATAGACCTGGGGCGACCGAGGACTGGAGGAGAGTTAGAAAAATATATGCATTTAAAAGAAGTTGCCGTTCTAGGCTAAAATGTACCTCCGGATGCCGTATGGGTTAGTGCCATTTATCTGCACCGTCACAACCTTAGGTATGCACTTTTTCTTCATTGTATAAGTCTTCCAATGCCCGCTGGCCGGGATTCTTCTTTTTAATTAGCTTACGCCTATTTCTCATATAATCCCATTTCCTCTTTGTTACCTCATATTTTTGCCTTAGCGCATGCTTGGTATATATTGCACGCATATGCTCATATTTGCTGGCCTAGTTGGCATGTTCCGCCTTTCCTAAGATAGGAACGGTGACACTGAGCAATGAAAAAGCCACAATGACGCCAGATCGAAGATGGACAGACCTGCTAGATATACAAATCGGAAGGCAGTTCATTTGAAGTTCGTCAGGCAGATGTTCCAAGACACACTATGGGACTTGATAAATGTACCTTGTATCGTGCGAGTTCCTGGAGGAGAGGCCTATCAATTTGCGATCTTTTCGTGAAAATACTGCTCTGTATGCACTAACATGTCCCAAAGGTCTCGTCATTCAGGTTTCATCGACCTTTGGTATCCGTGTAAATACTTAAACAGTACCACTGAAAATTTCAAATTGTTCTACTTTCGCGCGCGCCAGGGCGCGCGTTTTCTACTAGTCATTTAACAAGTCAGGGGACTTATAAATATATATTTTTCTGGTTCGGACTTAACCCTGTGCGTTTAACTCTAAAGAAATTCGCGTACGCGCCTCGTCGGCTTCTTTCCCCAAAGGAATCCTTTCCCCAAACCGCAAGCAGGACGCGAACCCCACCCCCCGCTCCAAAACGGCTCCTCATCTCCCAACACAGCACAGTCTGAATCCAGAATCCAATCAGCAGCTCCATACAAGCGGCGATGATCCAGCTGCTGTTCGCCGTGCTGGTGGCGGAGGCGTCCCTGACGGCGGCGCTGCTCTTCAAGACGCCGCTGCGGAAGCTCGCCGTGCTAGTGGTCGACCGGCTCAAGCGCGGCCGCCACGCGCCCGTCGTCGTCAAGACGGTCGCGGGCGTCGTCCTAGCCCTGCTCGCTTCGACGCTCTACAGCATGGCTCAGATCAGCGGCAGCGCGAGCGACTCCGACTCCGGCTCCGGCGGCGGGCCCACGCCCACCGACCAGGTGCTCTTCTCGCGTCACCTCCTGGAGGCGTGCCTCATGGGTAGGTCTTGGTAACGCGCATCAGCCCCACTCGATCATGTTCAGTACGCCTTGCCAATGCGGGCTCCTCTATCCCCATTTTCTGATTGGACTAGATCCCCTGTTTATCGCGTGCTTGGGTAGGGGTTTGATGAGATCTGAGTGTGATGAATAGTCTGAGCAATCTAGGTTGGCGGGGGGGTGTACTGCTGCTATGTTGCTTATTCCGGTGGCTGTTCGAGCGGTTGTGTTGATGTAAGCTGGTAACCCGAGCAGTAACTAGTTTTTAAGCTTTCAAATATTAACCGGACCAAGAAGGTCTTTTTGTCTACAAAAGAAAAGAGCATCCATTCTTATGTATCTGTTTGTGAGTAAATGGAAAATTTATATGGTCCAGCCAGTAATTTTATCTTATGAGAAACTATTTCGATCCGAACTATACAACTTTGCCATCCACACTCCACAGTGCAAAAAAATATAGCACACAGGGTTTGTGATGGGAAAGTTAAGTACTTTATTTAACTGATATTAAGCTGAATTATATTCTAGTGTACTTTTCCCTGGACACTAGAAATTTTACAAAAATATTGAGATCGAATTGAACTGTGATCATCTATCTACTTGTTGCATCAGCATTGAGTGCAGTCAGAATTGCTTGTTATGATATATTGTGATCATCTATCTACTTGTTGCATCAGCATTGAGTGCAGTCAGAATTGCTTGTTTTGATATATTGTGATCATCTATCTACTTGTTGCATCAGCATTGAGTACAGTCAGAATTGCTTGTTCTGATATATTCTGTATATATGTTGCAATGAAATTTCTAATGTGCATGACTCCAGTCGAATGTTTTTATCTATCACGGCCTTTTTACACATGTACCCTTCCCCTCTTGAAATATTGCGCTAAATGTTTAAGCACAGAATTTTTGCTATCTGCTCTATGTTGAAGTCTGAGCAGAGTACTATTCTTTCAGGGTACTCCTTATTTCTTGCTCTAGTGATTGACCGGCTACACCAATACATCAGAGATTTGCGTGGGTTCAAGAAGGACTTAGAGGCTGTACGTAAGCATAATAAAATGTTGGAGGAAACAAAACATGGAAATTCAGAGGAGGCAAAGAAGTACCAGGAAGAGATTGCCACTTTGAACAAGGAGATGAAGAAACTGAAGCTACAAGTCCAGGAAAAGATAGAAGAGGTCCATGTTGCTGAGGACAAGGCACTTACTATCCAAAAACAATCTGAAGGCTTGCTGATTGAATATGACCGCCTGCTGGAGGACAATCAGCATCTTCGGGATCAGCTGGTGTCAATTGACCTGAGGCTTTCCAGCTCTTCTTGAAGGAAGAGTATATTCAGGCATAAGAATGGTGAATCTGGTGCTGCTGCAACAAATTATCTGTTGCAGTTTTGAAGAGTCCATGTTTACTCCTTTCATGGGATGCTGAAGAAATTCTTTGTGGAAGATCATGTTACCACCCAAACGAGCATGGCAGCTACCTGCTTCCTCACTTGTTAGTCGTAGCATCTTTAATTAACTAGCTGCTGCATTATATTGTTGGCAAAACTAGTGCACGCATTATATGGTCTAGAACTTTGGAGTTTCTCTTATGTGTTTCTTGTGATGCCTACTTTTTATGTGTGCTGTAGTGATTACTGTTTTGAGCAGCATTTTATGATTATTGCAGATGGCATTCACATGTTGAAATCATGAACTCTGCTCTATAAGGTTCCCGGCCTATTTAAAAAGGTTTCATTGAGTAAAAAAAAAAAGGTTTTGTACTTTCACAAATATTTTCCAAATCAGAACGTTTTTTGTTTTAGAACGAGAACTTATCAAGCTCAGCCTGAAGCAGCTGAAAGGATGGTAACCGTGGTTATCTGTCCAAGCCCAAAATGTAAACATTATTGGCACTATCTGTTGGTGATAGAGAGCAGTTCTTTGGTTTGTTCTGATTTGTAAATAATATTAGTCAGTCAAGAAAAAAATTGGAATAAAATTCTAAATGTAAACTGAGTTTGGAGCTATATAAATTAATTGCCTATAAAATTTAAAATGTGTTGCAGATATATAATTTTAAAAAATATTTAACCAGGCTAATCATCAAATTACCTTGTGGTACTCAACAAAGAGCTCTATGCATGTATCGAGGTGAAAAATAGAACTTCATGTTCTTCAAACATTACCTATACATCTATCTATTTCCTTAGCAAACGGATGTATTAGAAGACATGTTTGAACAAAATATTGGACTTGCCATGTGGTTTGTTGTCGAGTTCTTGAGAAAAGAAAATTATCCAACCAAAGTAATTTCTTTACATATTAAGATTTGATCCTGCAGTTCTTGTGCAACTATGCTATTATCCATTAGCCACTTTTATGTTTTGATTTTGAACTAGGTCATAGATTTTCTTCTTGGATATGTAAAGAAGTGGAGTAATATCTCAGTTGCTGACAAAATGTTTTGATAGGTTGGTGAAAATGAAGTGGTTTCTAATGGTTAATCGATTGATATGGAGCTGTAACTAGTAAGCCAGGTACTGTTGACCCAAAAATAAGGATAATATCAAAATGAAGGTTTTTACTCACTTACTTAAAAGCTCCACTAGAACCCTTATGACCAGCAACAGCAAGTAGGAATGAAAACTGCTATCTCCCCGTCCCAAAAGGGTCAAAACCTTATATGGATAGTTGATGGTCCGTATTTGAATCTGAACATTTAATATCTGTAACGTATTCAAATTCGAATACTCAAAATCAGATTTCTGATATGTATATGGGATATCAGTATCCGGCTGATCCGTAGCCAACTGTGAGATCCGTCGCCATGTACGCTGATCTGGCCCGCCCCGCCCCCATGACTTGCCGATCACCAGACTACTACCCCTTGTCGCAACCTGTCTGCTCAGGTTGAGCACCAAGCCCACTTGTCTTCATCGAATAACCTTGCACATGCACAACCCCTGCTGGTTGACATTTTCTCTGCGCAAATCCACTGCAATATGCATGCTCATGAGCAGCTGCCCGGCTGCGTGTGGCACATAGAACGTGCATCACCCTCCGGATCATCATTCATTAGTTAGTGGCCTTCCTGCGCATTTACGAGATCAAGACAGTCTTAGTGGCCTTCCTGCGCATTAATTTACGAGATCAAGATAGTGGCCCTCCACTCACTCACCATCCGGAGCCTGCTTTCCTTCGGTCTTTCTGTATTGGATGCACGACCAATCAAGAATCAAAACAAAAATAAAATAAATGAAATAAAATAAAAGAACATCACTATACAATGGACTCCTATTTCCAGCTGGGATATGCTGCCATGTATATATCCACCAATCAAGAACATCACGACCAATCAAGAATCAAAACAAAAATAAATTAAAATAAAATAAAAGAACATCACTATGCAATAATGGACTCCTATTTCCAGCTGGGATATGCTGCCATGTATCCACCACCGACTTTGAATCCTTTGAGATTGCCTAGCTCCATATGCACATATGTTCGTCAAACACGTGCCATCGAGCCGTGCTGTTTGTTTCTTCGTCTTCAACGGTCCACGCCTGCGTCAATCGTATCTTCAGCATGACGTGTCGTGTTTTGCATAAGGTGCAAGTGGGCTAGCCGGCGAAGCTGCATATAGGTTCAATTTTGTGAGTTCCCAGCAATAACCCATAAAATTAAGGGCATGTTTTGGCTACCGCCACAGCTTTGGCCGCACTGCAAGTGCGGAGGACAAAACAGCCGCCGCTCGACAATTATCGTATGCGGTGCGCGATTTGAACTACCGGCTGCGACGCGTGCCAAAGCTGCGGCAAACTGCGGCGGCGGCGTTTGGCTCTTGCAGCGTGCGGCATGTGCAGCGTGGTGACCTGCGGCGTGGTTTGGAAGCCATCCAAGCACGCCCTAAATCTTATGCAGGTTCGTGGGTTAGCCCACTTGCATCATAGGTTTGGATATTGCTCTAGTCTACCGGCCTTGTTTGATCTCCTCGCAACACGTCCTGACTTAAGGAAATCTTACTATATGGCGCCACAACTATAGCCTCCTTGACGGTATAACATCTAACTAGAAAAATTAAGCCAGTGCCAATGCTCACATCGACCCCCGCAACCATACGCATGCTATTGACGTCTTGATTATGTCCATAGTACTACACCATGTGGCGTATCAGTTTCGCACTACCTGCACGTTGCACAACACCATATATCTACAACTAAAAGTTAAAAATGTTTTCATCCACACGGCTAAGCTTGCAAGCGAGGCGGGTTGTGGACAGTCGCCAACCCACAAAGCTCGCCGCAAAACTGATTAAGCGGGTTCGTGGCTGGCCACTATGTAACACCTCTGGTATTTTAAACCCTAAAATATGCCATGTCATCATATGCATTACACATCATTTTTGTGTTAGTGAAAACTTTGATATGTATTCATTAAAACAAGTTTATTTTTATATTTATATGTGTTGACTTGTATGGATGAATCAAGTTCAAAACCTTTGTATTGAATTGGATTTCCGAAAACACTAATTTCCAGCATTTAATTCTACCCTGGAAAACCTAATTCAAAATCTAAACACATTTTGGAGTTGAGCCTAAAAGGAAAAGTGTAGAGCTTGTCAATGTGTACAAAGTTGGTTTTTAGAGTTTTCAAAATTGTTATGAAAAATTTGAAGTAATTTGAAAGGGGATAAATTCTTAAAGTGTACCCTTTTGATTTTAAACTTGCATTTCAAAATGTAGACATAATTTGAGTATGGTTATTAAAGCAAAGTTGTAGAACTTTGAATTTGGAACAACTTTTATTTTTGGAGATTTTTGAGTTACCGTAGGAGTAATTTGAGAAATTAGGCGAGTGATAATTCGGTAATTAGTTGGAACAGTGCCAGCAGGCGACACCTCACCGTCGGCGAGCTTCCATCGACTTCCAGGCGCGCCCGTGGCCACCTTCAGCTTCGCGCTGGCATGGGAAAGCTGCTGCGTGTCGTCTCCGTGTTCCTTGGCCGCGTTATAAAGCCGGGACGCCATCGTCGTCACTCTTCCTCCTCTCCTCTGTTTTCCCGTCGTCATCGCCCAACTTCGACGAGCTCGCGCCGGAGTCGTAGAACCCTCCCAGCCTCAGCCGAGCATGTCACTGCTTCGCCTGTTCCTTGCGAACCCAGCCGACCAGTCCTAGGAGCCTGACTTCACCGGGAAACGTTGCGCGTCGCCATTCTTCCTCGCTGCCGGCCGCATCACCGTCGAGCTCGCTTCACCATGGCCAGCGCTCTGCGGTGCATCTCTGTCCTTGCTAAGCATAGCTCCAGCTTCTCCGTGTTACCGTGATGCTGTGTCGTGTTAGTTGATCCGTTCGTCCACTGCAGCCACCGAAACATCGTGATTGCCGTTGCCGCCGTCGCCATCAACGCTGACAGACGCGACCTTTGCTGCTCACCGTCAACCGAATGCTCTAGCCCGATCTAGGTGAGCCTCTGCTGCTATTCGAGTAGTTGTAGGAAGCTCTAGCGAACTCTAGTAGCTTGAATGCCGCGACGCCGCTGTGCACAGCTTGGCCAAGCCGCCATGGCCGGCGACGAGCTCGGACCAAGCCGTAATTGGTTTAGCTAGTACCTCTAAGCGAACCGCCATGAGATGGGGAACATGATGATACCCTCGTCGTCGCCATAGACCTCACCGCCGGCGAGAACGCGCTGGTCAGAGCATCGCCGTCGTGCTGCTCTCACTGACGGGTGGGACCCCGATGTCAGCGATAGTTTCAGTGAAAATGAATTTTCTATTTTTTAGAAATGTTGAAATAGTGCTGTGATTTGTTTATTTTGTGTAGAAATAAATAGAGCTCAAAAATTCTGAATATTTTTGTGTGACCTCTTTGAGATGTAAACTATTTAGGAAAAATATTAAATGTTACTTTTCACTACATTTTGAATGTGATAAAAATTGCTCTAATTAATTAATAAATGAGTTTCCATGATTTTCTAGGCTTAAATATTTATCCAAAAATTATAAAAATTGTTTTGCCACTTAGTTATCATGTGATGAGCCTTCAAAAAAATTGAGCTCATTTGGAAAAAGTTGATTTATTTCATAATTTTGAATTAAATAATTAATTCATAAAAACAAGTAGTAAACCTTAATGACTTAGGTTTTGTTTGAATTTGGGATTGAGTGATGACCTTGGGTCATTAAAATAAAATAATCCTTGGTACTTAAAGTAAGTGTTTGAGTTTATGAAAAAGGTTTAGTTAGTTTTTGGCTTGTAACTGTACCACGAAGGAAAGTTATATTCGAGTTATTAACTTTTGCATCTATCATCAAGCATCATGTTTTATTTCTCGCATCATG